GCTCTGGCAGCGCCGTAACCGCGGCTTCTCCCTTCCCCCTTCCCGCAGAGCGGCTCCGGGCAGCGCAGCCAAGGCAGCTCCATCCCCCAGAAATCCCAGGCCAACAAGTCTGCCTACAACAGCTACAGCTGGGGAGCCAACTGAGGCCGGGGCCTCCCTTGCCCACCATTTGCTTCCGGAAGAGAATCCACCGAACGAAGAGAATCCACCGAACCCCGACGCCGAAGGATCCCGGGAAGGAGAGGGGGCAGCGCCCGGGCCCCGCAGCCCCCGGGCAGGGCAGGCAGCTCAGCCCTGCCCATCTTCAGCCACCTTTCCTCTTGTATGTAATATAGAATTTGTATTTTTTCTTTTTTTTTTTTTTTTTTTTTTTTTTTTTGTTTTGTTTTGTTTTCCTTTATTTTCTCTCTCTCTCTCTCTGCATTCAGATTACGAACCGTTTGCCGTAGGGGCCTTTTTTGGTTTTTACTCCTTTCTTTCCCCTTTTCCCCACCTCTCCCAGTCCCCCCCAAAAAAAACCCTCCTGCTGCCCCAGAACCTCTCGGATCCAAAGGAGTGGAAGCTGCGAGTCGCCTACAGCAAACCCCCTTATTATTAGGAAATAAGAACAGTAATTGATATGAACAGCATTGTAAGATGAATTAGTTGAAGTGTTTTTTTTGTACCGTGTTCTAAATTTAATGGATAAATGTGTCTTGTATATAAAAACAAAAACCCCACACTGTCCTGTAGTTCTCTCATTTCCTCCCCTACCCTCTCTCCCCTCCCCCCACCCAGGAGGGCACCCCCCAATTTTAAGTTCTCCACCCCTGCCCCCCCTTCCCTGCAGGCCCCGAGTGCAGGTCTTGCCCCTCCCCCTCCTTGCACGCTGGATCTTCTGCTTTTGGTTTGGGTTGGTTTTTTATTTTTGGTCTTTTTTTTTCTATACAGTCCAGATCTTGTATTTTTCAGTTCCAACTGGTCACTTCAACTGAAGCCCCGTGGGGGTGATTTACTAAAGAGAATAAAGATCACAAAGTGATGTGTGTATTTTTTAATACCTGGTTCCAGATTTTTGGCACAGGGGGCAGGAGGCCCTGGGTAAGGCAGGGGAGTATTTTCCCTTCACACCTCTCCCCAGCTTTTTTTATTACTGCTTTTTTGAGGATGTGGGGTTTTCCCCCCCCCCTCTTTTGATGGATTTTTTCCTCTTCCCAGCACCAGGATCCCAGCACAGGGCCATTGTCATCATTTTTCCCTGCCCCTTCCCCATGCCAGGGACCCCCACCCTCCATTTCCCTGCTGTTGCTACTCCCATCTGAGGCTCCTCAGCCCCCTCCTCACCACGAGGGCTTGGGGAAGGGGTGGCTGGCATGGGAGGGGGGTTCCCAGTGCAGGGGAGAGGACAGGACCACCACTCTCCTGGCAGTGGGTGTTAAGCCACTCTCCAGCCCTGTGCTCCTTGTCACCCTCCTTGGAAGAGCCTGGGAGCTGCTGGTGGGGGTGGCTGAGATGCAAGGTAAAGGGCTGGGGGCTTGGGGGGGTCCCTGCCTCTGGGTAAGGGGGGGCACAGTTGGAGCCGGCTCAAGGCTCAAGTCCTTCCCTGTGCTCTGGGGCCCAGGGGAGGGGGAGGGCAGCAGGATGGAGCCACAGAGAGGGCTGGGCACCCAGCAGGGGGGCAGGACCCTGGAGCCCAGCACTGCACCCCTTGTTCCATCAGGAAGCTTTAGAGAATCATTTTGGTTGGAAAATACCTTTAAGATCATTCCCCCAGCTCTGCCAAGGCCACCACTGCCCCAGGTCCCTCAGCAGCATCTCCAGGGCTTGGAAACCCCTCCAGGGATGGGGACTCCACCCTGGGCAGCCTGGGCCAGGGCCTGACAACCCTTCCCAGGAAGGAATTGTTCCCAAGATCCAATCTCAAATTGGATATTAGGAAATGCTCTGCTTGAATCCAAATGTAAACCATGCCCTAAGCAGTGAGGCCAATGGGCAGGGACCAAGGACAGTCTGGAGCCCTTCTTCATGTAGAAGCAACTCAATGTGTCAGAGGCCACTATCAGTATCACAGAACCTCAGCCTGGCTTGGGTTGGAAAGAAACTCAAAGCTCATCCAGTCCCACCCCCTGCATGGGCAGGGACACTTCCCACCAGCCCAGGCTGCTCCAAGCCCCATCCAACCTGCCCTTCAACACCCCCAGGGATGGGGCAGCCACAGCTTCCCTGGGCAACCTGGCCCAGGCTCTCCCCACCCTCACACTCCACAATTCCCTCCTCAGCTCCAACCTCCAGCTCCCTCTCCCACTTTTCATCCCTCCCCCTCATCCCATCCCTCCCTGCCCTTGGCCCAAGTCCCTCCCCAGCTTTCCTGGAGCCCCTTCAGGCCCTGGAAGCTGCTCTAAGGTCTCCCTGGAGCCTTCTCCTCTCCAGGCTCAACACCCCA